ATCCATGCCTAATGATGACCTTTTTGGGTTACAACTGTGGATAGTTATGGACATAGACCCAAAATTCTCCCTTAAATACACTTTTAGCCCCAAATCTTGCCCTACCTTACACCTAGTCCATTCCTATTGTTTACTACTTCTAATTATCCATGGTTAATATGATTTAATTCAATAATTAAAATTTCAAATGTTACAATAGTACATGCATTTGTTCTCTTGGTTTCAAGATGTGTTTAGTTAGTATTATACTTATGGATTGTGTGTTTAGATTTGCTTTTGTGGCATAAGCCGCGTTCAATTATTTACTCTTATATTCTGTATATCCACATTTGTTACCTATTTTGTTAAGTTCTAAAAATTTTGACTTTTTAATCAACTTGTGTATTTAAAATTTCAATAGTTTCAATTAGTAATTTATTACTTCTATTCACATATGAATAATTTGTTTCCTCAAGTATGATAGAATAAAATAATTTTAGTTCACTCTCACTTCATGGTTATGATTATGATTTCTAGATTAACTGAGTTTATTGTATTAAATTATCCTTCTTTCAATTATTTTACATAATTGCTTGAATTTATCATTTTTACTCTTTTAAATTTTATTATTGGAGATGTTATTCATTGGATATTATTTTGATCTCAAATTCATTAGCTAACGCTGAACCTTTTACCAATCACTGAAGGGCTTGCAATTGTGCTAGGTGGTTATTTATTTTGAAAATGCCTTTCCTTTCAAAGTAAATTCTAAAATATATGCATTACGCCTTTTTTTTTTTTGAAAAAGCATTGTTTAGAGACCTCATCATTGACTATAGTTAGAGTCCTGACGTTTTATTAAGTTGTCTGTTTGTTATTGAGGAATGGAGCTCCTTATTTTGGCTGTATTTTTGTAAAAATTTCTGTTATAGATATTTTGAGAAGTCTTATTTATAGAGAAAGTATTTTTAACATTTTTACAAAAGTTTGATATTTTGATTTATGTGAAAGTAAAATGAGGTATATATAATTATGATAATAGTGTGTCCAATGTATAAATTTCGGATTTTCTTAATTGACGCATTAGGGGTATGTACTTGTACATATATCTTATGTTGATCTCACCTAATTTTTTTTTGGTGCACAACACATATAGTAAATACTTAATATGTGTGTGTATAAAAAAAACTTATATACTTAACTTCATATATATGCTTAAGGTGCTTGCTTTAAATTAATAAATCAAGACATGTAAATTCTTTATATATTATTTATTCTATAATAAACTATTGTTATTAATAAATATTTGAAAAGGAGGTTATTTCAATGAAAAATTTCAAATTAAAGTAAACATAAAATGACTCATCTGTACACAACAAGGTAATTAAGGGTGAAAGTAGTAAGTAATAGAAAATCGGGCCTTTTTCTCTTTATATGAATTCTGAAAACTTTGTTCTATATAAATTAATATAAAATTATTTCATGTTACACCTTAAGTGGCCAATGCATATTTTGCGTGATCGATATTTCCTTGAGAAGCAACAATGATTTAGAGATGGTAGAGACAAAAGCGGAGTCCAACCCTATTGAATTAAGGTAGTGTTTGGATTGTTAGTGTCATGTTTTAAAAATTGAACATGATCGACACGAGATATATGCACAAACATATGTCTTTTAAACCTTTATCAAGAAAACTTTAATATAATATTTTAATTCATTTGAAATAAAATAGAAAATTATTATAACATTTTCGGGTAAACAAACCATTTCTAAACTTTGTGTAAAAATAAAATAAAATAAAATCCATCAAAATCTCCCCTTAAAAAAAATAGGGCTTTCTAAAGTCTCTATAATAACCATATACAACCCAAATTAGGAATTCAGAGCTCTGCTCCTCCACAACAGATAGACAAATAGCTAATATATCAAAAATCTTATCTATAATTAACATGAAGCACCTAATCATAATTTTAAAGTATAGCACATAATTAAACATTTATAACAAAAGAAAGGTATCTTCAAAAAATTTCCTCATCAATCCAACAATGAGCCCCTCAGAGATTAACAGGAGGTAGATCACCAACTATGCTATCTGAGAGCAAAATGTTTTCAGTGAAATAATAAACAATTGAACATGAATAAAAGAAAAGTTTGAAGCATTTATGTATGTTGGAGACAACAATTTTCATAAAAATTTAGTAAATTTTAAAATAAAATAGATCTAAACAATTTTAAATAAAATTTTAAACCATTAAACTTTTAGGTCAAATATTGTTATCCTGTGATTTCAAGAAAGCAATTAAACAAAATAAATAATTATACATAAGTTACTAAATGAAAACCAATGAGATGGAAAATTACCAAATAATCTAATTTATGATTATAGGGATTTATCAGAATAATTAACAAATGTGAACATACAGCTCAGGACGATAAATAATTAAATGCGGCTTATGCCACAAAAATAAACGTAGACACACAGTCCACAAGGGTAAGTAACCAAACGCAGCAAGAGCTAAAAAACAAACATGGACACACAGTCCACGAGGGTAATGCTAACCAAACGTGGCTTAAAACCATGAAATCAAATGCAAATACAAGACTTACGAATAACAAACGTGAATATGATGCTTACGAAATATAAACTAGCTAGTCATTATTATAGCACGCCAAGGGCTAACGAAACTGCCATTAGCAACCAGTGTTTTGTATAAAGTTCCTTTCAAATCAAATTGCAAATATACAAGAAAATCATCAGTAATAAATGAAGTTTTCATTTTCAAGGTCGCACTTGCATGAATCATTCTCTGTATCAATCCAATATTTGATAAAATAAAATCTCCTAATCAAAGTCCAAACTTGTTTTAATTGATTAAATAACATTTCAAATCTAATAAAGCTAAGTTCTCAATAAAGTAATTTTAATAAATAAATATCCAATAATCACATTATTTCTATTAAAATGATTTGGAGAAAAACGTAATATTTTAGTAAATGAAATTTTGATTGAAAAAAAAATCAATTGAGACGCTATCCACTTACCTATGCTTAAGACAATAATTTATTTTTTCTAAAGTACACTTCTCTCAATTCCTCCTTAACTACTTTATTACTTAGACAAGAAGGATAAACTTATCTAGTGATGACTCTACTCCTTACATCTCCAATAGATATAAACTTATCTAGCGATGACTCTACTCCGTACATCTCCAATAGATATTCATTTCTTCCACAATCTTCTCTATTTCCGAGCGTTCTAGTATTCCACCAACATAGAATTTAAATAAACAGTACCTTTTTTTACATAAGCACTCTCTTCCCAACATCTAACTTAAAGCCATAACTTTCATTTTACACATTTAAAGGTTTGAATAAATACAATAAGCCACATTATCTTTATAACCAAATTTCTATACAATGTCAAACTCAATTCACAAGATAATAGCATCCAAACAAATTTTTTTTTTGTCTTCTAAGAAATTTGATGAAATTTCAAGAAATAAAAAATTAATAAAAACTCTCCTAACCTAACACAAATTTTATTGAATATTTTATGGACATTAAATATTAAGCTAATACTAACCTTTTCCTCCTCAATTTCAACTTTTCTAAAACCTTAGAACATAAATAGTCCAATCATTCTTAATTAAAACTCAAATCCACACTATCATCTCATTTTTTTGTTTATCACTATAAATTTTAACGAAAAGCAAGTTTCCCCCTCATAAACAAGTATATATATAGTCACAAACAGCAGCAACGGGGGAAAACAATTTTTGCGACTTCAATCATCAATGAGAGGATTGGTCCAGTGACGCCGGACAATGCACTTATGGTCCCCGGCGAGTGATAGGAGGAAGAAGCCGAAGAGAAGAGAGGATTGGGGGGTCTCGATTTTTTTTTTTCTCCCCCTAGAATTCTCTGGTTCTGCCGACAGGAAATATATCCAGGAAGGGAAAGAAATAATAATAATAATAATAATAATAATAATAATAATAATAAAGTTAAGGGTATAATTGTAATTTTAATTCAGACCAAACTAGAATGAAAAAAAATAGCTCTAAGTGCTGATCGAACGCGGTGCCATAGGTAGGCGATAAGCATGGCTCCCATATGCCATTAATTTTCTATTGCCTCAATTCTATATAATTTTTTTTAAATATTATCAAAATCTGTTATCTTTAATTTTAATATTTAATTATTTTTTAAGGCCATCGCAGTTAGCATTGAGTGGAGTTTTGACTTCTGACGATGCACATGAAAATTTAAAATAATAAAAATTTAAAAAAATTTAAAATTATGATAAAATTTGGATAATAAACTTTTAAGTATCCAAATAGAGAATCAATTTGATCTAAATCTAAATTTAAATTTAAATTTACATGTTTTCAAATATAACATAAAGAAATTGTGCATTATTGGTTCCATCCCCGTGATGCCTCACTTTTTATTTTTTTTATTTAAAATACCTACACAAACATTTGTGCATTCATTTCAATTCATCCCATTTGTTACTCTTCCATTTTCTTCTTGTCTTTTCCTTTTGTATGGATGCTAAGACTGTTGTTCACCTGCTTTAAATAATTAATTTCATTTTACAATCCTCACATTTCATATCGAAGGGTATGTTTAGACTATGATATTTTAGCAACTTCACAGATGTAGTTAATATAAAATTTGCTTGATTAATTGGTAGTGGAGGCAAAAAGTCCAGCTTTCACTCCACACACATACTTGCACATGTTTTTAATTTCCTCACTTTTGATTTTAGTCCATTGACTTTAGATCATGCAGCACTGAGCTGGAGAGAAAGTGGTGTGGTCTTGTCATCACAGGATAAGATTCTCATTGAGTTGAGTAATTACTTTTTAGACAAAAAAAATATTTTTTCCAAGCTGGTAAAAATTCGGTTGTTTTGGCCATAATTTTAAATTATCTAGACACGTCATTGATCTGGATTTAATTTTATCTTAATAAAAAGTAGAATAGAGTACAGGCAAAAGTGGACTCAAGGGAAGTGTAGATTTTCCCTCTATTCCTTATATCTCTCTCCAGCGAAGGCGTAGTTCATTGACTCTAGATCAAACCATTGAGCAAAGAGAAAGTATGGTCTCTGCAACAATAATAATCTTTTTCATTTTATATTGTATTATTGATATATTTTTTCCTCCAGTATATTATATCCACTAGTTTTGATTTCTTATCAAATTATTTTTTTCTTTTCCCTTCAAAACTAGTGATATGATCGATTATGTTATTGCAGATTCCGATTCAGACACAACCAAGAAATCAAAACACTGCAATGGCGTATAGGGTCAAAGGAGAATCATTTTCAACCTCTTCTAATTCAACTCCAAAATGGAAACATGATGTTTTTTTGAGTTTTGCAGGAAAAGATACTCGCTTGAATTTTACAGATCACTTGTATTCTGCTTTTAGTCAACGTGGCATACGAGCTTTTAAGGATGATAAAGGAATAGAGAGAGGAGAAGTCATATCACAACAATTATTTCAAGCAATTGAAGACTCTCTCGTTGCTGTTGTTGTTTTCTCTCAAAATTATGCAAATGCTGCATGGTGTTTGGATGAACTTCAAAAGATCATTGACTGCAGAAATAAATTGGGTCAACAAGTTTTCCCTATTTTTTATGGTGTAGATCCGTCCGATGTACGGCATTTAAGAAAAAGTTTTGCATTAGCTTTAGCTAAACATGAAGAGAGATTTAAAGGAAGCAAAGACAAACTGCAGAAATGGAAAAATGCTTTGTTGGAGATTAGCAATTTGTCAGGTTGGGACACGAGTGGTCGGTAAGTTTTCTTTCATATTATGGTTTAATCATTTTTTGTTACGTTAATATGGTTTAAACTCAAAAAAGATAATCCATGATTTGTAAATCTTATGTGTGTGTGAGAGAGTGAGAGGAACCTTATATAATCCAAACTATTCATGAAAATTATGAATTTATATTGGATATTTTGATTTAAATGGATATGCATCGATAGATCAAACAGTCTAGGATGATTCCCTGATTTTCGCCTTGATTATAGTATTCTCTGAAGTGTCCCTTGGCTTGTTTCCTAACTCAGTCTAAAAAAAGAAAGAAAGAAAGAAAGAAAGAAATAAAGAAAGAAAAGATTGCTTAACAAAAAATTTCTCTATTAAATCATGTTGTTCTGTTTAACTATTTCTTGTAAAATAGTTAAATAGAAACAAACAGTGTGATAAAATAGAAGTTATCCAAGACGGCTGTAAAAGGCCTTTTTTTCCCCTGCACTATAGCCATTTATAATTCATTTCTTGCTCATTTATTCTTTGTACTTTTAGGCCTGAAACACAAGTTATCCAAGACGTTGTTGAAGCAATATGGAACAAACTATGTTCTAAATTGCCATCTTATGATGATTATAATTTAGTTGGAATGGTCTCAAGGATAGTTGAAATAAATTCACTTTTGAAGATAGGGTTGGGCGAGGTTCTTTTTGTAGGCATATGGGGCATGGGCGGTATAGGTAAAACAACTCTTGCTAGAGTTGTTTATGAAAACATCTCTGACCAATTTGAAATATGTTGCTTTCTTGCTGATATTAGGGAAACTTCTGAAAGAAAAGGCAAAGTTTATTTACAAAGAGAGCTTCTTTCACATGTAAGTAATATTAAAATTAAGAATGAGTTCGAAGGAAAGAAGGAAATAAGAAAATACTTTTGGAATAAAATGGTTCTCCTTGTTCTTGATGATATAAATCATGTGAGTCAATTGGGTAATTTGGCTGCTATTCCAGAGTGGTTTGGTGAGGGTAGTAGAGTAATTATAACAACAAGAGATAAGCATTTGTTGACTTCACATGGAGTTCATGGAATATATGAGATTGAACCCATGAAAGAAGATGAATCTCTCAAGATCTTTTCAAAGGAAGCATTCAAAAAAGATCATCCTGAAGAGGGCTATGTGGAATTGTCTAAATCTGTGGTTGAATATGCTGGTGGTCTTCCTTTGGCGCTACAGGTTTTAGGTTCTTTTCTTCACGGAAGAAGTGTACTTGAGTGGGAAGATGCTTTAGACAGATTGAAACAAATTTCAGATAAGGATGTTTTTCAGATTCTTAAAATTAGCTATGATGGATTAAATGATGAAGAGAAGGCATTATTCTTGGATATTGCATGCTTTTTCAAGGGATGGGAGAAAGATGAAGTAATCCAAATTTTGAAAAATACTGGTCTTCATTCGTCAATTGGAATAAGTATCCTCATTGAAAAAGCTTTGCTAGTTGAACACCATACTGATTTTGGAACATGCCGTTTAGAGATGCATGATTTATTTCAAGAAATGGGCAGGAATATAGTTTATCAAGAATCTCCTAGCATTGCTTGCAGACGCAGTAGACTGTGGAAGATCGAGGACATTGATGAAGTATTGGAAAACACTATTGTAAGTGTTTCTTTATTTGATTAAATCTTGTCTTCATGTGTCTTACTTCCTTATCATTTTCATGTTATTTTCATGGGAATCCACAATATTGTTGTCAGGGAACTGAAGCAATACAAAGCATTGTGTTAGATTCCTCACAACGGGATGATCCTGAAGTCTATTGGGAACCTCATGCTTTTTCGAAGTTGTTTAATCTCAGATTACTCGTCATTCGAAGAAGATTGGAACTTCCCAATGGTCTCAAATGCCTCTCTAGTGCATTAAGAGTTATTCAATGGCAATTTTGCCCTCTAGAAGCTCTTCCGCTCGGGACACCATTGAATAAACTAGTTGATATTGAAATGCAACAAAGTAATATAAAGCAACTTTGGTACGGCGTACAGGTAAATAACTCCATTATCCGTCATTGTTTATCACATACATGCACAGCCATATTATGTTAGTCCGTATGAATTAGGCCAGGTAAGAAGTCCAAATGATTGCCCATGTGTTCCTCAGCTAGAAGGGGCCATTAGAAAGAGGGACGGATGCAGAGCTTAGTAGTTTGGGGGCCAAATTAAAAAAAAAAAAAGAAGAATGAAGGAGCCAAGATCTATTTTAGACTATTTTACAAAAAAAAAAAAAAGAATACATAATTTTTACCAAAAGTCATATGATGTATGGTAGTCAAGAACCCCTCCTTGCCCCCTGATCCATCACTGGTTAGAAGGAGCTAGGGAATATGTAAGAGGACGCGGAAGTTAGGTGATATGGATGAAATTAGCATAGCATAACAGGGACAAAGTTGGTTGTTAAGGGGTATGTAATGATTCAGAAATCTTCCTGCTTATTGACTCTTCTTCTGTCCTTTCCTTGCCTTTTCTTTTCTGCATTTCCCTTTCTGTGCTTGCTGCTGTCATATTTCTTTTTGGTCATTTCAGAATATGTATAGCTCTTTTACGTACCTTTCTTTTTTTTTTTATCAACCTTTGATTTATTTTAATATGTGAACGTTGGGCTTAATTTTGCGTAAACATGTTTCTTCGAAACTGTCTTGTGTTTGTTTGAGTATTCTATTCGGTGTTTTCATTGAGAGAAAATATGCTTATGTAAAATTAAGCCCAACATTCATATACTGGAATACTCCCTCTTTTGGTTTGTCTAAAAGCTCAAAGTGATCCACTTTATAAGACTGATGAAATTATTTTGTTTCAAATTAAAATCTCTAAATTATCCTTATAAAGTAAGACTGATAAAGAGAAAAAATAATATCATATGATTTATTTACTTTTAGCTTTTTACTTGAAGTTATGTTTGGAATATTATTTACTTTTATTTCTTGTACTTTTATTATATTGATATTAATAAAAATCGATAAAAATGACTTATAAATAAGATCATGAGAATAGATAAAAGACCTATGCTCTAAATTAACATAAAAGAAATATGACAGTAATTAGTATGGAAAGGGAAATATAGAAAAGAAAATGCAGAGAAAGGACACAAGGAAAATTAATCAGGAGAAAGATTTCTTAATCACTGTACACCCCTCAATAACTAAATTTGTCCTTATTACAGTGTGTCAATCTTCATCCATATCACGTAACTTTCACATCCTGTTATGTCTTCTCTGGCTCCTTCTGCCTGAGGCACATGGCTATCATTTGGACTCCTTACTCGGCCCAATTCATTTGGACTAACAACATATTATTGGTGAGTATGTTACATTAAGAGGACATTGTTTTCTGGGACTAATTTTCCCGTGTGTTGTCTGTTTAGATTATGAAAAACTTGAAGTTCATTGATATGAGCTTTTCCCAAAAATTGACTGAAACTCCAGAATTCTCAGGAGTTCCGAATTTAGAAAATTTAATTTTTAAAGAGTTCTCATCACTTCTTGTTGTTCACCATTCCCTTGGAGGGTTAAAAAAGCTTGTCAGCGTGAATTTGTGTGGATGCACAAGTCTTAAAGTCATTCCAAGAAAATTGGAAACGAATTCATTGGAGAAGTTACTCCTTAGGCGTTGTTCTGAAGTTTCAATGCTCCCAGAGTTTGGGGAAGGCATGAAAACATTATCATTGCTTGACGTGAGTTATACTGCTGTAAGGGGACTTCCTCAGTCATTTGGATTTTTGACCGGTCTTAGAGATTTGAAAATGAGAAATTGTGAACATCTTGTTTTGCGCTTGTCTGTCTTCCACCATTTGAAGAATCTAAAAACGGTTGACATGTGTGGTTGCTTAAAACTTTCCAAGGGGCCAAAAAGACTGAATGAAATCGTAGCCTCGGAAAAACACGACATGAGTGAAAATTTCAGAACAGACATGACTCTGTTCAGTGCTATAGTAAGCAATCAAGTCTTCAGCTTTAATCCATCGGCAATAACAGAGTTAGACTTAAGCGCTTGTGGCCTCAGTGATGGATCAATTGTTGAACATTTCAGTGGTCTCTCGTCATTACTTGTGTTAAATCTTGGAGGGAATGATTTTGTTATTCTACCTGATGGTTGGATCTGTAGTTCTATTCGACTACGCTTTCTTTTTCTGAGTGCCTGCAGGAGGCTTAAGTCACTGCCCAAGCTTCCACCACAGTTAATTCGATTAGACGCAGTGGGCTGTAATTCAATGGAACCTTTATCAGAAAGACAATTATGGAATATGGTTTCATCGCTTCACCATGAGGTATGTTTGTCTACCTAAGGTCTTTCCACTGATTTATGATCCGTTTGAGAAGGTCTAGTATCATAAATTTTTTTGGTAGTGCAATATCTTTTTTCGATATTTGAAAGCAGTTTAATTTATCCTATTAATGTTTTTAAAAAATAGATTTGACTGCTAGTTAAGCTGGAAAATTATTAAAAAAAACTTCAAAAATTATATTAAAGGACTCTATAAAAAAATAATATAAATTAAGTCACTTAAATTATAAATAAATATCAAGAGACTAATATTATTTTTTATTCATATAAAATACCAAAATAACATTTTCACTAGCCACTTTGACAACTACCAGGTGATTATGGGATTATTGTTGCAGGAAATATAATTAGTAAAAAATTAGTAAATATTAAATTGTTAATTTTTTAATAAGATATTATTAAATAGTTATATTAATTTTTAATTAATTACTAGTGTTGTTGCCAACAATGATGATCTGATAATTACCTGGTGGCTTGTCAAAGTGGTCAATCATAATGGTATTTGGGTCTTTTATATGTTACGAAAAAACATTTATTTATAATTTAGGAAATTTAATTGATATTAATTTTTTTATAAAATACTTATTTGTAATTTGTTGGTTATTTTTTAAATAATTTTTAAGTCCTTTTCAATAATTTTGAATTAACTAACTTTCAAAGTTAATTTTCATAATAATATAGGCAACATTGCATCATTTTTAATTGTTAAAAGGTAACGTTGAACCACTGAATAAATTAAAATACTAGATCACATTTGTTGGGAATAATTGTTGAGCAAAAATGTTCTAAACCCCTCACTATACATATATGCACCCATATAACACATACTATTTGCTTGTTTTAGTATCGCCATCAAGTTAAATATGAGAACACACTGCTCAAGCACATTGAGGTATGTCAGTCCTCTTCGGTGTATTTCTACATGACATGTTCCTTTTCTGATCTGGCCAAGTATGGTTCATAACAGGTTAATGTTGCTGCAGGTAGCAGAATATTTTCCCCAGAGAGATTTTTTCGCAATTATTCGGGGATCTGAGATACCATCATGGTTCCCAAATAACGATTATGTTGCTTCAGATTTGTATAGATCTAAATGTGAGTTAGTGATGAACATTCCTCAGCATGTTCGTGCAAGTGAATGGTCCGGACTTGCGGTTTGCATCAAGTTACAAATCATGCCGTGTGTATTTGATAGTTTTCACATTTCATGGAGTAGTAAAGCTCCTGAAGATGATCATTACGTTAGGAAAAAGTGGGCCCATGAAATTCGCGTTGTCGAAAAGGAGGGTCCTCACATCTGCATAATGGTGCTGCATTTGAACGAGAAAACATGTTGGCAACATCTAAGAGGTCATGATAATTGCCTTCATATCAAATTTACCTTTCATTCTCCATCTCGTGAGATGCTCAAGATAGGAGGTTGTGGATGGCGTGTGATGTGTAAAGAAGACTTGGAAGAGTGGAGACACAATAATTATTGGAACAAATCAAGTACTCAAGAAGAGATTGATGATTCTGAGGTCCGCCTTCCTCACACTGCTTTGGACAGAACAATAAAAATTTTTCAATAAAAAAGAGAGAAATGGGTAATCTTCACTCATGTATGCTATTGTCTTGCTTATTTAGACTTGTTCACTCAGTTAATGTCACGTCCCAAAAATAGAGAGTGACTAGCATGAGAGTGAATTACTTCACACATTCTTGCATGCCTCAAAATGAAAATTCATTCTGCTTTTTAAAATAAATAATCAAAATATATGAAAATTCTAACATTTCTAATATTAATTGTCATAGTAAAATTTTAACTTTTTTGTAAAACTTTCGACAGAACTTTCCTTATAAATAAGATTTCTCAAAAATTCTACAATACAAATTTTTTACGGATTATGGTATCAATTAGGAGCATAACTCCTTCTAGTTAGCAAACAGTATATAAACCAAAATAAAGTCTAACAACAATTTAAGTAGAGCAATTGACATTTCCTCGACATTTAAAATACAATCTCTCAAAATATTTACATAAAAAGGTAATAATATCAAGCAAAATTTTCACTCAATATAGTTGTATTGCCCTTAAGATGTAGGTAGTAAGATTAGTGTCAGCTAATGAATCTGATACTAAAATAAATTTTTTTAATGAAGAGCATTCCCAAAATAGAATTTTAAAGAATTAAAATAATAAACTTAGATAATAATGCAAACCAATTGAAAAGATGATAAATTAACATAATAACTTCATAAGTCTATAAATCATGATCATAATTATAAAAGGAGAGTGAATTGGAAGCTATTTATTCTATTATACTTAGAGAAAACAATTTACTCATGTATAAATCAAAATTTAAAATTGTGAGAACTTAATAGAACAGACGACAAACGTGGACACATAGTTTACGAGGGTAAATAACTAAACGCAGCTTATGCCACGAAAACAAATGTGAACACATAATCCATGAAGGTAAGTAGCCAAATGAGGCTTAAAGCCATGAAAATCAAGCACAGGTATAAAGCCCGTGAATAACAAACATGAGAACAAAGCTCACGAGACAAACTAGCTAGTTATTAACCACAGTGCGCTATGAGCTAACGAAACTGCCGTTAGTAGCAGTATTTTGTTTAGAGTCCTCTTAAAAATCATTTTTCTAACATGCGAGAGAAAATAATTACTTTTGAAATATAGTTTACATTTTCAATACCCAACTCACATGAATCATTTCAAATTCCAATATCTTATTGAAAATAAGATTTTACAAATAATGTACAAGCTTGCATTAATTAAATAACTAAGAATTTATAGAGTTTAATAAACAAAAATAATTTCATAAATATTTGAATTATAATTCTTGAGTAAATAAATGCATATATCATCATCTAATTATCCATCATCAATATTCCATAATTTCCAAAACTAATGTAATTCATAAGAGTAAAATATTTGAATAAAAATTTAAAAATAAATAAAGGGAATGCTATTCACTTACATGTCAAAGCTCTAAATTTATGTCTTCAATTTCTGCACGAATTCTCTTCTTCCAAACACACTATAATAAAGTTTTAATAGATTTTCAATCTTTAACATAATTTCAAATTAATCATTATCATCTAAAATTCAAAACCAAATTTATGATTTAAAGTTAGTCCAATCATTATCATTCATTCTTATGACTTTCTCCATAAAGCTTTAGCCATGTCATTCTATTTTCTTCTTGCAAGCTTTTCAACAAGCAAGTCATAGGTGTCAATATTTAAGTTATATATTTAAGCTATTATCTTCCAATCTTTCTTTAATAACTTCTTTAACATAAATCAATCCAAATAAGATTTATTTGGCTCCAAAATTATAACCCATATACGTACATGTATATATATATATATATTATAATCAAGCTTTAAAATAGGTTTCTAACTCAAATTTGAGTCTTCTCCCTCCTACAATAGCACAGCAACAACAGCAACAGAGGGCATAAATTTTGCAACTTCAATAAACCAATCACATACGTACGGACTAAGAGAAAATTGAAATGTGGATATCCCTCACCTTATCAACGCCAATAATCGAGAGAAAAAGAGGAGATATTGGAGTTTATGGGTAAACAGGGGAGAGGAAAAATAGCACTGTCACCACGCACATCAAAGGAAAGAAGACTGATTCCACAGCACCAACACAAGCTCATAGTAACAGTTCCCTAGTTCCGATGCTTTATGACTTCTCAGCCTAGAACAACACGGACAATGCAGGAGACAGAGAGAGCAACAAAAACAGGAGCACGGAGCAATGAGGAAGATGATGAAGCTCACGGATGAACTAGGGAGGGAACGACTCACGAGCCAAACCTTCCAACTCCAGTGACTCAACTCCTCGCACACCAACGACGCAAACTTGACAGGAAAGATAATGGTGGAAGGCTTGAGTGAATCTACACCAAAGAAATGGAGGAAGAGGAACAGCAGTGAACTTGTGGTGGGCTTGAGACCTACGCCAGCGATGACGTGATGATGGAGAAAAATGGCGGACGGCAGCATAGACAGAAGAGACTAGAGATCAGATCACACACTCTCTCTCTAAGGTTTCTGGAGAAGTCGACGCTGGAGGAGAACACTGAGCCAAGAAGATTTTTAGTTCTCTCCCTCTCCTCTGTAAACCGACTCAGTTTGTTGGAGGAGTATACATGTACTCTGTCTTAAACATATTTTATTGTATTTATTATTGTTCTAAGGGCAAAAATGGTAATTTTCTATAGGCTGAAGGCCTGAAGCAAAACAAATAACACTTCTTCTTTGTGCTCCAGAAATGATTGGAACTTGGTACCTATTGAATCAGAGGTTACATAATTGCCCCTAAGCTGACTCTTCTTCTTGTTAAACATGTTCCCAAAATTAATATAATTACTATTAAAAGCAAAGTTATATAGTAATTAATTTTAATTAATTAATTATTTTTATTTTTATTTTTATTTTTGGGCTATTACATTCTCCCCTCTTAAGAAATTCAGTCCTCTGAATTTTAAATTCGTGCTTACCTCAATCTTTAAACAAGTATGGATATTTAGCTTGCACGCTTTTGATTTCCCATGTAGCTTCTTCTTGAGAATGGTTATGCCACAACACTTTTACCAAAGCAATTTCTTTTGACTGCAACTTCTTAACTTGTCGATCCAAAATAGCCACAAGAACTTCCTTGTAAGATGAGTCAGGGTCTATTTGAATTCCCTGTGTTTCTATCACATGAGAAGGATCATATAAATATTTCTGTGGCATTGATACATGAAATACTAGATGAGTACTTGATAATTCATGTGATAATACCAAACGATAAGCAACTGCACCAAAGATCTCAAATGGATCTATATACCTTGGGCTTAGTTTACCTTTCTACCCAAATCTCATAACTCCTTTCATAGGAGACACCTTAAGAAATACCTTATCCTCAACCATAAATTCTAATTCTTGATGTTATTGACATGTGATTTTTGTCGACTTTAAGCTGTTATTAATCTTTCTCTAATTATTTTCACTTTCTCAATAGCATCTTGTACTAGATCTGGTCCCAAAAAGCTTAATATCGCAACATTAAATCATCTGATAGGAGATCTATATTGCCTGCCATAAAATGCTTCATATGGAGCTATTTGTATATTAGATTGATAACCGTTGTTATAAGAAAACTCCACCAAGTCTAAATAGTGATCTCGACTGCCACCAAAATCTAAAATGCAAGATCTTAGCATATCTTCAAATATTTGAATGGTTCTCTCAAACTGGTCATCTGTTTGCGAATGAAAAGTAGTATAAGATCTAGTCGAGTGCCCAAAGCTTCTTGAAAAGACCTCTAGAATTGGGAAGTAAATTGAAGGCCTCTATTAGAAATTATAGATACTAGGATCCCATGCAGCCACACAATTTCACCAATATACAATTTAGCATATTTATAGTCATCTTCAATAGAAAGGAGTGAGCTGATTTAATCAAGTTATCAATAATAACACAAATAAAATCATATCCTTTCACCATACGAGGCAATTTGGTAACAAAATCCATTATGATATTGTCTCACTTCTACTCTAATATCTTTAATCATTGATGCAATCCAGCTAGCTTTTTATGTTCTTCCTTAACTTGCTAGCACGTCAAATAGCATGAAACAAAGTCTGCCACATCCTTTTTCATGCCACCCACCAATACAATTGTTTCAAATCCTGGTATATTTTTGTTGCTCTTGGATGAATGGTATATGCAGAATGATGAGCCTCTTCTAAGATAAGTAACTTTAAGTTTTCCTCTTATGTCATGCAAATTCTACCATTGCATCTTAATATTCCTTCCTGATCAATTTCAAGCTTAGTGCTATTTCCTGCTATGACTGCTTCCTTTAACTTGCATAACCTTGGATTTGAAGATTGAGCACTTTTAATCTGATCCATTAGAGAAGAACGAGCTTGTATATAAGCCAAAAATGCTCCCTTATCAATAAGTTCAAGCTTCACTCCACTTTGCTCAAGCTTATAAATTTCTTGCACTAAAGGCCTTCTTGCCAAAGTTATATGTGCCAAACTTCCTATAGATTTCCTACTTAAAGCATTTGCCACAACATTTGCCTTGTCAGGATGGTAAAGAATTGTACAATCATAATCTTTAAGCAACTCCATCCATCTTTTTCGTCTAAGATTAAAACCTTTTTGCTTAAAAATGTACTTAAGATCCTTATGATCAATATAAATCTCACAAGTCTCACAATAAAGAGAGTGATGCCAGATTTTCAATGCAAAAATAACTGTTGCCATCTCTAAGTCATGAGTTGGATAGTTCTACTTGTGCTTCTTAAGTTTCCTTGAGGCATAAGCAATAACTCACCTATGCTGCATTAAGACATAGCCTAGACCCATATGAGAAGCATTATAATAAACTACATACCTTACGTTGCCTTATGGTAGACTCAAGACTGGAGATCAAAACACACACACTCTCTCTCTAAGGTTTCTAGAGAAGTCGACACTAGAGGAGAACATTGAACCAAGCAGATTTTTATTTCTCTCTCTCTCTCCCCTCTATTAACAAACTTAGTCTGTTGGAGGAGGATACAAGTATTCTGTCTTAAACATATTTT